TCTAGACGTGCTTTTCCGAAAATGCTTTTAACGGAAAAGGAGCATGGAACTGACAAACAGTGGGTTGGGTCAGAATAGGCACTGCCTGGGCAAAGAGACTGGGGCAAGGAAACGGTGGGAGGACAGGACACTGGCCTTTTACAAGTAGTCCAGGGAGGAAGACTGTAAGTGGGAACATGGACAGACAGAGAGGGAGCTACAACAGGCCAAGGTAAAAGAGACAAACTGGTTGATTTGCCAGAGATGGGGCAACTAAGACTGTCCGAGTAAGGAGACTGGGACTGGAATAAGGGTGTATGCAAACTGGGACTGATGTGAGGTGATTGGGACAGAGATGAAAAGCCATGGTTGGGAAGAGACAAGGCTGGGACAGGCTGGCAGCTACGGGGAAGAAAATGTCACATCTGGGGAGATGTGGATAAACAGTCTGTGCTCACAAGAGCACACTCCCCTCCAGATTTTGAAGTAGAACCCAAGACTCCCAAGTCTCCCCATTCCCCTGTTGTCACGAAATAACTTTGAAATCCGCTTGCAAAATATCCCCATCCCCACTATTGCTGGTATACAAATTGGATGACAGCCTATTACTGTTGAGACTAGGTGGGTGAGATAATATCTTTTATTGGGCCAACTTCTGTTGGTGAGAGACACAAGCTATCGTGCTACACAGAGCTCTTCTTCAGATCTAGGAAACTTATTAAAGTCTTATAGCTAAATATAAGATGGAACAGATTGTTTAGCATAAGTAGTTAACACATTTCAAGGGACCATTCAAGGTGAAGTGGCCTGTTAACTCCCCCTCTAGTTATAGGGAGGAAAGAAAGGGAGAATGAAGTAGCTAGGAAGGGGGAGGGGGTTGTAGATTGCTAGTGAGTTATAGATTGTTGTAATAAGTCATAGATCTAGTGTCTCTATACAGTCCATGTTTTTTTACTAGCAAAGCTATACATTTAAGCTTCCAGGCTCATCTTTTGAAAGTGTTGTGCAGGTTTCCTTTGAGGATGAGGACTCATACGCCACATATAGAGAGAACGCTTAGTGAAAAGCATTCACCCATAGGTGATAGGGTGGATTTGTCTTTTATCATTTTTGTGTGTGTTTAGTCAAGACCACAATGATTGTCCAGTTTCACCCACATCATAGCTATTGGGGCATTTAGTGCATTGGACGAGATATATCACAGGTCTGTGTAAGACCAATGGATCTTGAAATGTGGGCAGTGGAGCGTGTTGATCATTGTAGCAGTGGAAATATATTTTCAGAGTTTGCATCTATTGTTTTGGCAATTCCCAGTGCCATTTTGAGTTGGTGTGACTGGTCTGTGAGAAGTTTGCTTTTGATGATGACCTTGAGGAAGTTGAGGTGTTGTTTGGAGGTCAAAAAAGGAGGTTCAGGAAAGATTTATTTCAGAAAGGGGTCCTTATGGATACTTCTGACCTAAATCTCTCTCTACCTCAGTTCCTTATCTGTAAATGAGAATAATAATAGCCTCATATCTCACAGAGTTGTTGTATAAATAACTGATATTTGGTGAGCACCGTGATGCTACAGCAATGAGCACTACAGAGAACCCATGAGAAAATTAGCAATACTATTCTCTGAGCAGTGTTATATAGACATGGATTTGATACTGATTTTGTGTTGTATTGGAAGTATCATTTGGTGTTATTTGAACAAATGTAATTAATTTTTTTACTAGAAAAAACTTGCTTTTGTGCACTGTCAAAATTGCAAACATTTCACTATAAGCTCGGTAGCCTTCTAAACTAAAGCATCTACTATGCTGCAATTCAGTGTTGTCACTGTGCAGATTACACTTCCTAAGTCTTGGACAGAAAGGCTAGAACTCTGAAGTGTATTCCCTACAAAGTGTAGCGAGAAGATTTTTTTCTATTAACACTATTCAGTTTTATTTAACATTTAGAATACAGATGGATCCCAGTTACACAATTTAGATCTTGATTTCAACCACCACAAAGCTTGGGAGTGCTCAGATTTGAGTTGATTACTGTATCTTAAATAAAGACCAGCCATCAAATTCAGATCCATCCTCAGACATTGAACTTCTCAAAGTTGAAAGATCTCTGGATCTCTCAGAAAGACGAAACTGACCTTTCTTCATGTAAGCTATCTATGGTTCAAATATTCCCTTCTCTTTTCTCTTATTTCAATCAAAATGCCCTTTCCCAGCATATAGATGAAGTTATATGCTGTTCTTCTTATGGCAGGTTTTAAAGTAAAACACAGTAGGACCAGCTTGTTCAAGGCAAGAGATAAATCAAGACTACAATCTAAGAAACACAAGAATTATAACAGCAAATTAGGCAGCAATATAAATCAAAATGAGTGCCTGGCTTGTGTTCCATAGGAAACAAGAAAGTATCCATGTGTAAATCTTCCTATACAGAATCCAGGAAATGAGGCATGTTAAATTGGGTATGTCTACACTAGCCCCCCTCCCCAGTTCGAACTAGGGAGGCTACTGTAGGCATTCGAAGTTGCAAATGAAGCCCAGGATTTAAATATCCCGGGCTTTATTTGCATGTTCCTGTCCAGTCGCCATTTTTAAGTTCCACTAGCCCAAAGTAACTGCCTGCAGCTACACGCGGCAGTGAAATGGCAATTTGAACTAAGTCCTTAGTTCAAATTAACTGTTACTCCTCATGGAGGTATAACAGTTAATTTGAAGTAAGGACCTAGTTCGTATTTCCATTTCACTGCCGCGTGTAGCTGCAGGCAGTTACTTTGGGCTAGTGGAACTTAAAAATGGCGACTGGACAGGAACATGCAAATAAAGCCCGGGATATTTAAATCCCGGGCTTCATTTGCAACTTCGAATGCCTACATTAGCCTCCCTAGTTTGAACTAGGGGGCTAGTGTAGACATACCCATTGATTTTAATTCTTAGGAAGAACAAGTTACTCACCCTGTGTAGTAATGGTGGTTCTTCGAGATGTGCCCCGTGGGTGCTCCACTCTCGGTGTTGGGTCCATCCCCGGCGCCGGGATGGACCCGACACCTAGAATGGAGCACCCACGGGGCCACTCGAAGAAGAACTTAGTGACATTCCAGTACTAAATGCCAAATTTCAAGGGCATTTTAGAAGCTCAATCAGCCAGCACACAGAGGGGCTGAATTCTTGGCCAACTCCTCTCAACTCACTTAGGTGATTTGACCCTCTCCCTCAGGGAGTGCAGGGAGTAAAGCATTTCCTTGCTGTAGTCTACATAGAGACAGAATCAGTCTAGCCTTGTCTCATGCTTTCTATTAATGTTTTCTGTTTTTCTTTTGCCCATCCAGCTATTTTTCCACCCTCTCTGATAGTTCCAACTTTTATCTGTTCAGGTAAGAGGTTGACCAAATCTGGCTCAAAAAATAATTCTAGATGCTGACAATGCAGTCATCTCTCCATAATAAGTTTATGTCATTATAACGGGCATGGTGCAACAGTGAACTTGGGAGAGAAATATTATTCAAAGAGCTACTCTCAGGATGGGCCTCTGTTTACACATATTTCTATTGGTGATGGTAATAGATTTCCACCTGGCTCTGTTACTGTGTGAGAGACCTCTCAGTCTCTTCAGTGTAGACCCCTCATCTGCTGCACTAGTATTGTTTGAGCACTGTGGTTAGACAAGGCAGACATTTCCTTTCATTATTGACTAATGGATACAATCTTCTCATTTCCATATTTGAATACACACATTTATGCTTATCATCTTTGAGCCTCTATATCTCAATGAAGACTACAGCAGCCAGAGCACATTCTTATGGTTGCTTTCACAATCTTTTATTTCAGAAGAATGAAAAAGGAGAGAGGAAAAAAAACCCTGATCTGGATTGATTCCCAGACAACTAAACTGGAACAATTTTATACATATGGGGCTAGATACTGATATTTTACTATGAGAGTAGCACCACTGATTTGAATGAGACATACACAGGAATGGCAATTTTCTTCCATATTCTGGGAGACCTTATTAGATTTGAGTATCTTTGGGGATACAATGTGCAAAATTGCTATACACCATACAGCCACAGACCAGGAATGTATGTTACCTCTTTAGGGGAAGATGTAATGTGAAGTCTTAAAGTTCAGAGAAGAATGGGCTTTGATCACAATAAGCATAAAGTATATTTCCAGGAGAATACATAAGGAGAGGATAATGCAAATTGCTCATCCCCAGTAATGGAAAAACACCGCCTTTTGAAGCAACACCTTTAGGCTTGTCTGTTCCTGGAGACTGGAGATCAAAGGCATGAGCTGTACAAAGTAATGGCTGAATTGTTCAGCTGGAGTTCTGGTTCTGAATCTAAGAAGTTATGAACTTATAACCCCAGGGAAAACCCATTTGTGGTTTTGAAAGATTAACATATACTAGAGCCCAAGGTTGGAATTGGGGGTGTTCTCTAGTAAGCATTTCAGCATGCACCCAGGTTCTTTCATATTTTAACGTGTTTTGTCTGCAATGCCTTCATGTTAAGAATAAATGTGCTTTCTTAGAAAGAGCTACGTGGTAACTTAGCTGCAAGAAACACACTGGACATAGCCTTTAGAAAGAAAGCAAAGTGCAGATGCTGGCCTTTTAGGCAATCTGGCTTACTGGAGATGTCATGGAACTGTGAAGCCTTAACATCCTGATCAGCAAAGTGAAAGACAGGGATTCCTGTCCAAGAGAAGTGCTAGTTGAGGACTCGAGAATCTAGTGTGGGTGCCCGCTGGTAGCCCAAGAGGTGGAGGCATACAGGTGCAGTTACCCTGAAACTGTGATCAAAACTATTCACAGAATAACATTATTACACAAATTTCAGCAAGAGTATCAAAAACTGGGACATTGTGTTTTAAGCATCACTTAATCCATCCACGGTGTCTCCCTCAGACGATAGTCAAATGAGAGAAATACTTCTGATGTGTTCCCGCCCTCTTGGTTAAAGAAACACAGAAACAAACAAAAACTATATCAGTTTTGACAGGATGATTAATCAGTGGCAGTACTTACAGTTGCATGACCAGATACAAGTGGTTTGGACTCTCATAGATGTCTTCTAGTGCAACTATATTTTCATGTTTTATTCTGAAAAGCAACAATAACAACAGAAGGTAAGTGCAAATTTAAATGGTGACTTTTAAGCAGCTGCCTAACAGAAAGCTATTTTTAGTTTGACATTACTTGGTGCTTGTGATTTACAGTCAGAACCAAATCCAGTTCTGCATAAGCTGTCAGAAGTGCCTGGCAGCCCAGGATCCTGTTATTATCTAGCAGCAATGTTTGATGATGACATATTTAAAGTATTGGAAATGTTTCTTTTCCTATTTAATTAATAATATGAATAGCAAAGGTGGAATTTGGAAGTCAGGGCAGTAGCACATCACAGATTTATTGAAGCCAGTACAGGCAGTCCCCGACTTACGCGGATCTGACTTATGTCGGATCCGCACTTACGAACGGGGCTTTTCTCGCCCCGGAGCTCGCGGGAGGCGGGACCGCCCAGAGCGCAGCGGTCCCGACACCGCGTCCTCCAGGGTGAGAAAAGCTGCTCCGGGTCTTCCTGGTGTGCTGGGGGGGGGGGCTCCCCAGCACAACAGGGAGACCTGAGCAAAGCCGCACAGGCGGTGGGACCCTGCTACCCGTGCGGCTTTGCTCCGGGGCAAAGGAGCAAAGCCGCATGGGCAGCGGGGTCCCGCCGCCTGTGCGGCTTTGGTCGGGTCTCCCTGCTGTGCTGGGGGGGGAGAGGGCGCAGCTAGTGCGCCCGCCCCCCCCAGCAGACCAGGCTTTTGTTGTGGGATGCCTGGGGTAGAGCAGCTGGGGTGCTGCTGGGTTGGTCCTGCAGGGACCTACCTGGCAGCCCAGCTGTTCTGTCACAGGAGTCCAGATTCAGCC